GGGGAAAGTTGAGAGCAAAGATATAATTGACAGCTAAGCTTTATTAGACAGAAACTAGATTCTACAGCAATGATATGTGGCCGATGGAATGGAATTCCACTGGTGAAGGGGTTGAGGCTGTTAGACGCAAATTAGGGCTTATAATATGACAAGAAAATTTTAGCGTCTAAAACAGTAAAAGATAACGAAATTTTTCAGAGGATAAAACATGGACAGAAAAAAAGAAAAAAATATTACTCTAGGACGATTAAAGTTGATCGAGCATTTGAGATCACTGATTAATGTGGCTTAGGTTTGTTGTGCAACCTAAATTAATGTTAACTCTATGTATAAGCACTAAGTGCATTAACCAAAAAAGTGTGTATTATTAGCTCCGTCCATATGCAAATGTCAAGTATCCATAAGCGGACAAAATTAAATAACTTCATTGAAATATTTTATCAACGAAATTAAGTAACTGATAAGCATAAATTGTGTGTAAAAATGTCCTCCTTCGTCTTCTTATGTCATAGTCTAAAATTTTAATTATTTTAATAAAGTAAATAAAATTCAGAAATAATATGGCAATTAAAAAGAGCCCTTAGCGATGACTATCTCTTATGATGCATAAAATACTCTGCAGTTTCTGAAATTGTTTGTGACCCGGAAGTTCCAAAAGCAAAAGTCATAATTATCTAGACTATCAGTAAAGCTTATTTGTGTTCTAGTCACCATATATCGCAAAAGGTGATGGGCTGATAGTCGAATTTTCCAGCAATTATATACGATGTCATCGTCCCTTATTAACTGTGAAATAGAGTAAGTATAACTTATCAAATTTACAAATGTCTTGTAGTCTTTGGATAACTGATGAAGATATATTATAACTCACCAAAATCACGCCTATAAAGTCAAGACGTACGAGTTCGGCCTCAATAGACTGCTCAGAGGACTCGATAAGGAGACGAATAAAGCGGATAATATGGAGACGCGCAGCCGTGAGTGGGCGGATAGTGGTGCCCCAGGTGGTTGGCATTTCCTGAAGGTCAAGCTGAGGACTAGACTTAGAAGCGGTCTTCAAGTGTTAGGTTAGCGGGTAATGATAAAAGTATGAAATTGGAACGTTAAACAGATAGTTATAAAAGCCCTAAAAAGCACTGGTGATAGTCTTGGGCGAAATTTTGGATTCAACATCCAGAGGCATTATTGAGCTAAAATAAACTGATTCCCACTTGTTAAGCTCACTTCAATTTCGAATAAGTGTGATGAGCAGATACGGAGGTTTATACTACCAAAAGGCGAAGACAGATTCATCTTGGTCAGCCGTCTGTATGCTTTAAGGAAAATATTTTGTCGATGCTGTCCACAGAACAGTTTTCTTTGGTTCAAGTAAGAACGTGCTAAGATTTTCTCAGCAAAATGAAATAAATCATCAGAGCAGGACACCAATCTTACAATCATATTCAAATATACGAGTCAATAAAACACATTGGCTTTTCCATAAAGGTTATATGTATATACCCAAACCCTAAGCATATTGATGAGGTATAGATTGATTTGTCAAAGTCATATATGAATCTAGAAGCATA